TTCAGCATGGTTTAAATTTTTTTTAAGCAGAAAAACATCGGAAGTGACAAATATTATTACAAAAGTACTCTTCAACGAGATTCAGTGTTTAATTTATTTATCATTTGTTTATTCACTTTTTTTGATAAAATTTTTTTTAAATCACTTGTAAATATTTAAAAACTCCAATTTTTCTGACTATAGCTTACAGTATAAAAGTCGAAAGAATTTCTGTTCCTTCAGTTGATAAATTATCATCGCCATCTGAAAGTTGACTGCCAAAAATCAGGATGGCTTCAACTACTTTGCTTTGTATTACAGGTAATTTTATCAATTTTTTGAACACAAGTTATTCGTAGGCTTACGATTTTTATTTTTTTAGGCTTTCTAATCGTTTTTGTCAATGGCATTGTCGCCGGTAGAGGTACGTTCTTGACAAATTTGTTTTGAATTCATCCAAATCGTTGTCATATCTAATGAAATTAAATATTTTCAGTGCCATGCAATGAGGTATTTAAGTTCAATATCGATGCTGTCAAAGAATTTCAGTTAGGAACCAACGGTACAAAAGTCGCCATGAAATTTAACGTGGAAGCTCTCGTTCGTCCGGTCAACAAAGAAGGCTCTGCTATTTCTATTTCTCTCAGAAATATGAAAATTGTTGTCGACAGAGACAATGTCAAGCAGATCAATATGACGCAATGCAAGTCGAACGAAGCACTTCAAAAGGACATGAGTCGTCCCTCCCTGGCCGTTTTTGATGACAACGGAGTGGTGAGTCATCTTCTTATCCTAATACCTGTAACGGTTAGCATGCGAGTTGAAACTCGTAATTTTACCTGTTTGTTGTTATTAGTTAAGATACATGAAAATGAGCCGCAATGACAGTGAGTTGTCGACAAACATAAAAATGTACGTTGCTTCTCTCTTGCAAATTGATTTGCCTCGACTTCGTGGAGAACATCCTTCTAAGAACAGAGTTGGGGTATGTTGTAGCACATTAAGTTTTTGTTTTAATATTTATTCGTTTCAGTGTAGATTTCCACGTTGGCGTTAATCTTATTCTCAAACTCGATTTTATTACTTTTCTCGTCATTTAGCTAACCTATGCTGGAGTTTGCCCGATGAAGGGTGAAGTAATAAAGACCAAGAACGGTACATTGCTAAGTAGGCTGTCGTCGAACCTAGTAGAGTGCAATGGAGTCAAAAGCGATAACAAACGTGACAGTATCACCTGCATGGGTAACACGTGCAGATGCCAAGACGAAAGAAACTTAAAATGGACTGGTGTACTTACTAACGAAGTTATAGAAACTCATGATCGTTTCATTGTTGATAACTTCGAAATTAAATTACCGATTTCGTACAAGCCATTCGTAGCCTCTGATGTCGATCTTATTGGAAACATCATGTATGTATATTGTCTTTAAACCATCTAAATGAGAATCCCTTGATAATTGTGTTTTTCTAAAGATAAAATTCTTTTTATTCCACAGTATTCGAGGTCGTCTCGTATCCATCAGTAAGGACAAGAACGTTCCAAGCGTAGAAAAATACGACGGTGGTATAGTTACAAGAGGGCGTTACTTGAAAATCAACACAGACATCTGTAAATCTTGCCATGGTAACAAGGATGGCATGGATGATTTGAGAGAACTTTACAGTGCATTTGCCTGTCAACAGTCCGTGCTAGTCATGTATGAAGATATCCTTAGCAAAGCCATTGAATGTAAATAAATATGTCAGTTATGAAAGAAATCATTTTTCAAGTACAATAAAAATTCCTTTGCTGAGTGAATAATGGAATGAAGTATTGAAACGAGTTAACTATAATAAAAAAGCTCCCAACAAAAATTCTTGGTGTATTTATCTTGTATGTTACCTTGAACTCATAAAAAAGTTTGCCATTTACTGTAACCTATAAAGTCACGGATGACTTGGTTCATGAATTCTTTAAAACTTATTTGACAGAAATAAATTTTTAACACTATAATTCTTTGAATGTAAAGCATAATGTATTATTTTAAGTAGTAATTACTCAATCAGTTCATTACTATCTTCATCGATATCAGCTATTACGCTTCATAAATGTTAATTTCATTTTACCACGGATTGTGTTCAATAGTTTAATTTTTAACGAATGATATTATCGATAGCATCATAAGATAATGTGAAAAAAGCATGACACTGTCAGAACATATTAATCTCCATGCAGTGTAACCGTCTAAGATCACAAATTTTTTCTTTACATTTTGCAAAAATGTATACAAGTCAATAAAAATACAGTGATCATTATAACACGAGATAAGCGAAACTTACGCTTATTAAAGAGTGATATCTCCTTAAAATTGAAACTTATTACATCAATATTTAAACGCCTTATCAGAGAAAGTAAAATTATGAAAAGAGATATTTAAAAAAAAAATAACGTAAATAAGCAAATTTTTATTTTCAGCCCTAAAAAAATTTCATAAAAAATTCACAGAAACTTTAGTTTTCTATGTATTATTCGTAACATTACTGAAGTTGAGATTTTATAAGGGTGAATTTATCTATCACACATAGAAAAACTGTTTTAACCGATTGAAGATTACTAAACACAACTGATAAAAACATTTGCATATACTGCAAGTACTTTTTTCGACTAAAACGAACCGGCCCTTTTTCTCCAGAATGCCCATAGTTCACCCTGAGGTTCAGCTGGGGTCAAGACTGGAGAACAAATCCTAGTCTGATTTACCTTTTGAAAAGTCGATCTGATCAGGATTCAAACCCTCGTTCCACTGAAGGAACTGTATCTCAGATCAGATCTTAATTAACTGGACCACAACTGCTCCCCCAAACAAATAGAAGTTAAGTAAAAGTTGAGTGTATTTTAAGTAAGTTTCTTGAGAAAAATCATCCAACATTGTTTTTCGAGAATCTAAAAACTGACACATAAACCTTAGGGAGGTACAACATAAATCTTAAAATTTTTGTAGCTATAAAGAAAAAAAAACTCCAGGTTATTAGAGTTATTGGTTCCAATCCCCAAACGGGATTTATTGCGTCCATACACGTAAGCGTACGCTTGATAAAAAGGTTTAAAGGTCTTTAGAAACTGTCGAGTGTTGTTACTAGGCTTTAAATATATTTAATTAAGGTGTTAAAAAATAATGTATCTTCCCAATTTTTAATGCAAACAGTCAAAGTAAAGATAACGGGCAAAAATTGTATTTAATTATTCTTCACACAAAAACTATTTCAAGGATGCAATATTTTTAACCAATCTTTTGCAAAATACGTTAAAGTGATAAAAATAATTGTAATGTGCGATTTTACGAGAAAATTAACAGTTTTAACGTATGTATATAGTAACATCAACCTTAATATTTTCTAAATTGAAAATGTGATTCGAGTATATTCATTATTAAAAACAGTATAAATCGATGCCTCAGACGAAGACTATGCCCTGCTTCGAAGCCTGGACAAAGACTATGCCCTTTTCCTAAGTCCAGACGAAGACTATGCCCTTTTCTGGAGTTCAGACGAAAACTATACCCTTTTTTTCTATCCCAGGTGATGATTATTCCAATTTCCCCAAGTCTGGACGAAGATGTTGACCTTTTCTGGATCCCAGATGAAGTGCAATTCATTTTGTTTTGTTCATTGTGTTTATTATTAGTGTTAAGAATATCGATTACATGTTGATTTTTTTACAAAGGCGTCAGTACATTAACGTGTATATGAATCTCAATGAAAAGATAAAACTTATAACAGAAATACTGGGGCACAAGTATCGACATTGAATTTTAGTTACTTTGATTTTCTGAGTTTTAATACCGTGCGATAACAATAATAATACTGTTTTATGATAATTATAACATTATTATTATTATTATTATTATTTCAATAAGAGTAATGTTTAAAGTAATAATACCCTCTTGTTCGAAGCCTATCGATCCGAGAAAATTGCAAAGAAAAAAGATATTCCAATATTCTTCGTTATGAGAATGACAAGTGGAGCTCTTAAGAAAGTGGCCGTATTCAACATTTTCGAAGGTTATTTGTGATGTAGTTATATATCTACGGCAATGACTCAACAGGTTATATTCAACCGTAAATAACATATTCATTGAACCTCCTAAAACGCACTTATACTCCATCATCACCGATTTGGTCGATTTTCTTATTCCCCCTAATTACATTCCAATTTTTCCATGATAAATATAGACGAATAGAAATCAAATCTTATACATAAAATCAAACTGTAAAGCATGAAAAACGCGCTTCATCCCCTTTCAGAAGCTTGAATTAGCTATTTAGGGTGTTTATACAGAGGATGAGCGTCTAGTGTAAAGCTTGGAGGTCCTTCAATCATTTGCAGGCTTTTTTCACCTGCTTTAGAATTTGTCGTTGTCGAGTTAATCGTCATCCGAAGATGACAAGCACGTGATACTCTTCTGTCTCTCTCTCTCTCTCTATCTCTCGGAGGAAGATGTCATCAACTGCCGAACTATGTACATAGTACACCTGCAATCTTGTGCAATATAATACGCTGTGTAGGCGTACGCTTTTAGAACTCGCCGAGCCGAGTGCTCCGATAATCGATAACTTAGATATACATATTATATCCACAAGGCAAATAAAACAGGCTTAGGTGTATATAGAGTGTGGAGATATTGTGACCACGTGATTGGAAAATAAGAGAGCAAGACAGATATAAATGACTTGTAGTTTTTTTTTTTTTTTTTTTTTTTACTATTCACTTGATGCTTAGATCGATTATTTATATGCACGCGCATATACATAAAATACGACCTCGTGACAATGCAGACGCGTGCATCGATGAAAAAATTATTTTAATGCTCTATTTTACAGTGGAGGAAGCGTTGAGCAATACGTGCTCTCGCGTATTATTTTATTGACAAAACAAGCTCACCCAAACTCGGCTTGTCATTGTTTCCTTTAATACATTACTATCGACGTGGACAAAAAATATTATACGCAATTACAAAGTTTCATGTACTGTTTGTGTTTCGTCCACCAATAGAGTTGCCGATAGAACTTTTCCTAAAACTAGCTCTGCAACAAAGTGCGGAGTTACATGTAATGATGTGATGTGAAGTGTATACAGAAGGGTTGGTGTGTTGTTACAACTCGTGAGTGAAATACAATCATGTGTTGCTCTGGTTAGCTTCTGAAGTTTTTGCAGACCAACTGTTCGTGATTCGTACACCTCAAGTTTTCTTCTTTTATTCTGCTTTTTTTGGGGTGATGATATTTTGAAATCGTAAAAGCGAAAAAAACAGCTTTTTTTTCATTTAAGGAGGTTTACATCACAACATGTCGGTAATGTGCACGACAGATAAACAAGGTAAACAAACTCAAGCAATACTGTACTTTTAATTTTTTTACTGTGAAAATGGATCTGTGAGCGTGTACATTCACAAAATTTTGTGACTTGAATTTTCAAATAGTGAGCTTTTTAAATTGTTTTTTTCAGGCAAAAAAGCAAGTAAAGTTTTTTTTTGTTGCTATCGAATAAGGCTCAGAGGTTCCTTAAGCATAGCTAACTTCCATGAATTTTTCAATTAAGTCTGATTAACTGCAGTTTTCAAACTATCAACCTATTTAGGGCTACTTAAGCTTTCTTATGTTAGTTTTTATCGATTTCTGATAAGTAACGTTAGACTTTTTTCTCGAGCTAATAAAATGAAACTTTTTTTTTATACACGGCATGGCTTACATTTTACTTTGGGGTTCAGAATACGACATAACTTTCTCAGGTGAAAACTCCATGTCTTTTTTATTGGAAAAATATTTTTTTACCCTTTTCGTCAAAATTTTCACTTCACCCAAAAGCTAGAACAGCAAAACACTTTTTCTATAAGCAGTGAATGCAAATTTTCCCTGAAGGGATACGCCACTTTTTTCCTTTGACACCAAAAAACAAAAAGTAGTCACCAGTTTCGCCGGAGGATAGGAAAAATTTGTTCTACACTTCGAAAAGTGTATTTAGAAACATGCCACTCATCACAAGAGTGTAGGCTAAAACTGCAATTTCATCAAATTTCTGAAGATTCGATGGAAGTTTTCAAAGGAAAGCTTGATTTCTTAACTTAGACTTCTAAAGACTCGTAAATTCAAGGGAGAGAAGGAAAAAAATTCTGTGATCCAAGGACCTTTTAATCACATTGGCTAGATAAGCATCTGTGGAAAATTCTATTTTTTTTCTATCGAAGACGCGCTTAATGCATCGGTAAAAGAACTCTCGTTTTAAAATTTTTTTAAATCGTCAATTACATATTTCTCGAAGGGGCTACCTCTTGTAAGGATTAAATTGAAAAGAGTTAAATTTAAGAAGAACCTGCCATAACATATTGTATCTAAATAATTGCTTTGTAATAGGAAAAGTACACGAAACAACTCCGATTTCAGTTTTCTACTCATGCATCAAGAACTACTTGCATTACAAAAAATAATTTCTAAACGATATACACCTTCACGAACGTGTACAAAATATAAGGATCCTTGTCACACTGTTTTTATAATGATTTGATATACTTAATTGACACACGATTAAATTACCATCTACTTTGAAGGTCAATACTCTTAGGTGATAAATAAAATCTCTTGATATTAGTTAGGATTAAGTCTTACCGACAAATAAATTTTTAATTAATTTTTCTTGGTAAAATAAGTGATCTCCAATTATGGTTGTTATTCACCAAAGTCCTGGCAGATGCGTCGGATGTACATCCGTATGTAATCAAGCGAAAACGTTAGAACGTATTTCCCCTTTTTTCCATTTCGAAGCACCGAAAAATCGATTCAGGAATCCGTGTGTGTGTGTGTGTGTGTTTATGTATGTGCTTTGCTCTGCTTCGTTGTTCCTCTCTCGATATGGCCGAAACCTTTACTCGCCCCAGCGCGTTCGACCTATATCATGTGTATACATGTCGGTGGAATTTTCCATACCTGTCCTTATTTTCGCTGTTTTACAGAGCAGTACAAAAATAAACATTCCTTTCGATCACCTGTCACGTACTGCCACAAAAAAGCCCGTTATACCGTTCCAAAGTATACGATGGCGTAAGGTAACAACTGTTTGGATATAAAAATATATAACTTCACTGAGAGAAAATAATAATAATAATTCTAGCTAAAATTAACATTCTGTACGATAAATCGGATACAAGTAGGCAAAAAATGCCAAAATTGTTATTTTTAACAACAAATACTATTGTTTTAACAGTTGAAGTTGTGGACTAAATACTAAAAATTAAGGTAAGAACAGTAACAACTACTATGCTGGAGAATAAAATTTATTAACCGATCCCTTTGAGGTTTACTGTTGTAACATCGTATTTATACTGTTCTAATCGTAGTTCTCACTACTTAAACTATAACTGTTACTGTTATAAATAATTATTTTTTTCCTTTTTTGCCAACTTGCGTTCGATTGAGTGTGCATGATTGTAATTGTTGCTGAAATTTCTCTATAAATTTTGTTATTTTTTTCTCTCAGTGTAGATGTATCAATCTACATCAATTCGCTGCTGCTTCTTCTTTTTCAATTGCAAAACAGAGAGAGAGACATAAAGCACGATTCTCCGCTGCTGACAATTATACGATGCTCGCATGAGTATTACATTAATAGTATGTACTAATAATATACTTTATACTGAAACTACTTTTTGGAGACATCTTTTTATGAATATGTTTCCAACATTCATGAAATATATCGTTTGGTAGATGCAGCAAGTGTACTGAGATATAGTAACATTTTTAAACAAAAATTTATTATTTTTTATATAATAATGCTCTTTTTCAAATATTATTAACATTATTTTTGATATCATTACAATATGTGATAATCAATCTATGTTTTGCACTAATGATGGAATAGATGTTTATTATATCTCGGTGATCACTTAATCGACTGGTACATTAAGAAAAAAAAATTTACCGAAAAAAAATGATAATCCACTGCTGTCCCATCGTCTTTAAAAACTTTTCTAATCTCCACTTAGCTTTCATAGGACCTAAGTATATAAGCATCGACACAATTACTATATCAGATATTTTGTGGACGTAGTCGTCAATTTATTTAATAATTTGTATAATGCACTGAAAAAACTTTCTTAACAGATGAAGCCGAGATAAAGCCTTAAGAAATAATCATCAATAATTCCAGTTGATTAATTGGTATTTCCGTGGAAAAATGGATAAGGTATGTCAGATATGTTGTCCAAAAATTAGAATACAAGCATATGTTTCTCCATTTTCTCATTAAAATCAACTAACGAGGATGTAATATGTCAAAATTTGAGAATGAAGGTGCATGACATCACAAAAGTTAGAAATATTGTAATTTTCGTGATAGATAGCGTAAATCCAATGGAATTTTATCTTTGTTGGTTTTAGTTTCTGCGTGAAGAAAGATAACACTTAACTAGTATTTTAATAATTTTAGTGACATACTAAATTAGGATGTTGCATCGAAATAAGGTTTCTATTCTATTTGGTCCATCAAATAATTACACGCATTTTTCTTCTCCTATTCACAATAATAGACAACAAGTAATATACATAAATTAGTTTTTTTATGAGATAAAATCAGTCACACTGATCATCAAAAAAACTGCTGTATCTTTATAAATTTTCGTTTCCGAAAAAAAAGGTTTGTGTATTAAATATTTTTCAATAGTTCACCTCAAGTACCAAATCCTTTTTTTAATGCAAATGCCAATAACTATAACTATAAAAAAGTGGTACGTATGTGTTATTGGCTTGCACACATTCTGGTATTGTCATTTAGAATTTTTATAAGTAAAACATAAAATAATATGAAAAAATCTATGGCTCTTTAATTTGATGTGGAAATCTACAAAAAACATCTCGTTTTTGTCTCCGTTTATTCACAAAAACTTTTTTTTTTAGGTACACCCTTGAGATAGGGCTCATTCGCTCTTACTGTCACATACAATGAGGAAACAATCATGAACATGGATTTCAAATAGGGTGACCCCGTTTTTTCGCGATTTACATGTTATTATTATATCTACATATAACTTCTTCGTGATTTTTTCCTTGTGGTACATGGCATTGCGAACAAAATAAGCCCTGTGTCGAGGGTGGGCTGCAAAAAAAATTTTTACGAAAAAACGGGAACAAAAATGGGATATTTTTTGTGAATTTCCTCACATACATGGAAAAATCTGGAAAGCGCATAAAAAAGAAAACCCATCCTGGCTAGCAAAAATACCCTAGACGATTTCAATAGATCGTTTCGCGTCGAAAAGTTTTGGATAGACAAAGTGAGGAAAGAAACGAACGAAGCCACATTATGATCGTTCAGAAATAAATTGGCGAAAAATAAAAATATCATGCCCCGTTTTACTGTTTGACTGAATGTATACCTAAAAATACCCACACGTAAAAGTGCGTCCGAGCTATTTGTGTTTTCAACTTCTGTGAGCTAGTACAGTGGAAGGCAGTGTAAAAGTTTAAAAATAAAACAGTGTTTTCTTTCTCGGATTCGATTAATCAAAACTACACACGAAGTCTGTCAGTCAGTTACTCATTTTTTTTTTTTTTTTTTTTTTTTTTTTTTTTTTTTTTCTAACAACAACAACAAGAGTCGGTTTGCGTTTACTCTAAGATGTCAATTTAATTAAATATGTAACAGAACGATATATTCACGAACCAAGTGGGATTTCTTACATATAAATATCCCACGACTCACCCTCCTTCGGTCTTTATTCACCGGGCGCATGACACGCAGCGTCGCTCACTGTTCTCAATTCGTGACAAATATTTGTATGAAATAAAAAATTTGCAATTATTAGCCTTGTTTTGGATTTTCTAAACGGTAAGAAAATTATGTATTGAAAATGGTCCTTTACGACGAGTAGGAATTTAAAATTTCCTTCTATATCTCGGGCGTACTTATTTAACACTTGGACGTTCGCTGCACCCCCAATGGGGACAAAAAGCGTTCGCCACTGATGCGCACTTGGCCAAGGCGATCGCATAGGTCCCTTAAGAGTCGCTTCGCTCAGGGGAAGATGCGCACCAGTAACGGAAACTATCACTGAAGTGTTACTCTCGACAATTGACACTTCCAGTGAGGGTATAGGAATCTACGGTACACTTCGTGCTTATAAACACTGATGCCTGGGTCGTTTTGTCCATACATCCCCTGTAATATATTGCAGTCAACGACTACGAATCGAGTAAACACGTGTACTATTTATTTTGTTGCACTTGGGAACGAGGAAGTGAGGACGATTCAAAAGCATCTGTCTTTGTTAGTTCCCGAGCCTCATTAATCTTGTTACCGTGGGAGAAAAAAAAGTGTTGCATGACTTT